CCATGAGGACCAAGGCTTGTGAACATGAGGCCGGTACTGTCTATAAAGGGCTTCATCTACTCAGACTTCCTGCAGTCTGCAGCATATCTCTGCTATAATGTCAGCTGTCCTTGCCCTCCCTTTATTCCTGACCTGCCACCTCTCAGTCAGCTCCTCATCCATCCCCAGGTGCAGCTCCATGAACTCCAGGTGGTCTCTGGTACAGAGCGTGACACCTTCTGCTTGTCTCCATTTCTTGTCCCTCCTAAAGAGCCTGTGTCCTTCCATTCTAACACTCCAATCACAGGAGCCATCACACCACGTCTCTGTGGTGCCAGTAAGGTCAAAGCTCTGCACTTATCTCCAACTTCTCTTCTTTATTCCCCACTCCCCACGTGTCAATACAGGGACATTTAGTTTGGGCCCCCACTGAAACCGTTTCACTGTCCAGAGTGCCTGGAATTCCACTGTCCCTTGTGGAATCTCCTTCAGGTGCTCTCCTGCTGATCTGTCAACCCTCCTCAGGCTCTGGGCATCTGGCATCAAAATAGTCAGAGTGGGATGGATTGAGGTTCCCCTTCCCCGGAAACTTTGGAAGGATAAATCAGTCCCAGCCAGATCTTTTACAAGTCCATTGTGTATTGATCTATGGTGTCTGAATCATACTGTCTGACACTTTCACAAGAAAATAACATGTATCACTTTTTAAGGGGCCTTTGATCCCACTTCAAAGGATCACATATATATTTTATGCCCAGCAGTTTGTGTATTTGACTGCATTTATTGTGGCCAAGGCAATGTATTTCTCCGTAGCTCCTACCAACCTCCCACAGCATCCCAGAAATCAAACACATCTTAAAATGTTCATTTAGTCTGCTTTTGATTTTTCAGTCCGATGCAAATGGTTAGTGACCTTTCCTACTGTCTTTTGAGGGCTGATTTCCTTCATCTAGTCAGAAATGTGCTTACTGACCTGATGTGTCCAGTTTGTGGCCTCAAATAACCACAACCCATCAGCGAGACCAAGGCTTGTCTCCATGTTCTTACATTCAGAGGAATTTAAATATATATACATTTAAAGCTCACCAGGCACTGATATATGTATCACTGAAAGATAATTTGCAATACATGCAATTAGAATGCTACACAACAAAGCTTTATGCAAGTCTGCCTTTTGTGTTTTAAATTCTTAATCTAAAGCAGTCTTTTGCATCCTAAAGTGTATCTCTCTATTAAGAAAATATGCAAATTAAAAAAAAAAAAAAGGATCAGTAAAATTATCTTCTATTTAGTCCTATTTAAAAATTACCTTCCTTTTTTTCCCATTTGGCTTTTAAGAATGATCACACATCACTTAGTAATCACTAAGTGAACAGACTGGTCTCCTGCTCTTTGAATCTAAAGTACAAAATAAGTATCACTGTGTTTACCACAGAAACATCAAGGACTACTTCTTTCACAATGATGTAGAGTACTGATATGCACGTCAATCTCTTGAGCTCATGAGCAGCAGGTATGTGAGGATGGACATTGATAAACAGTTGCTATTCTGAAGAGAATTACTCATTATTTTCTCTCATTGTCTTCACTGAATTCCTGGGGTTATACATTACGGAGAATGAGAGGAAAACCTACTTTAAGTTCTTCAGGATAACTCCCCATGTTTCATGAAACAGCCATAATTTATAAATAAAAGTCAGAAAGATTCAAGATACATATTTTCAGAAATTTATTGCTGAAGTGCTAATATTCATCCATCATTCTCCAAAAGTACTGATATTCTTTTTTGTGTGTGTAGTGTTATATTCTCATTTTATGACTGGCAGAAATTGGAAAAACTACAATTTTGTGACTTTTCTGTAGAAAGACAATACACTGTTTTGAGTGTTGAGACTACAGGTCTGGCAGACACTGTCACCAGTGCATGGCTGTTCGGGGTTTTTATCTCTAAAAGACCATTTTTGGTGAAAGGGCACAAGAATGTCTATGTATGAGCTTATTCCAGGAGTCAACCACTAAAGCTCCATTTCTTCTAAATTTAGAAAACAAAAACAAAACCAAAAACAAATCAAAAATAAACCACACCTAAAGTTGGGCACGAATGCCTTTTCCATGTGCACTTTAACTTTTAGGCTTCTTCAGAAATTGAAATGATAGAGTTAAGTAGACTAGAAAATTTTGGGAAGCAGGCTGTACAGCAAATAAAAGAGAAAAGAGGCAGCAACATGAGCTCTGTTTTGGCATCTCATAGCAGGTTTGGGCTGCATCTGTTCTTTGTCTTCTCCAAATTTCTCAGAAATTAATTTGCCTATGGAGGAGTGGAGAAGACAGGATAAGGACTGATAAATACCCGAAGAAATTTGACTTACAGGAAATGAAACTGTCACTTTTCATTTCTAGTGCTCATTCAGAGAGCAGGAAGACAGGGATAAAAAAAGTATTTTTAGGTTTGTTCAAACCTTCGCTCTTTTATGAGGAAGAACAAAGGGAGCACATTGAAGGAAGCGTAGCACTAAGGTTGACTTCTTTGAGAAACAAACTTACCTACCACAAAGACCCAGTGAATGAATCCAGCAAAATGCCACCTTGTATCTCTGCTCTGCATTTGCTACCAGAGAGGCTGAGATAAATTGTATCTTCTTCAAGTTATTGCAATATAAGCGCTTCAAAAAACGACCTCATTTTTCAAAAGTTTTATTGTTAAGTTTGAAGACTAGACAAGGTTGTACTGGTTTTACATCGCTCCACATGATTTAAGTATATACAAAACCATTTGACTATTACACAGCTTGGAAGGTTGCAAAGGTCATTGTGTCCGAGATACTTCTGTACTTACTGACACATCAGAAGCCAGCACTGAATATTATAGTTCACATTTGTTGTATAGCAAAGATACACTCATTTAGTATCCTTAAGTCTTCAAAACTGACACTTAATTTGTATGCAGCCATTCCAAAAGAGAAAGTCAACCCCAAAACCAGAGCCAGTTAATGTGATGAGGCTCTAATATGATAAAACAGAGCTTTATTTCCCAGGCTATAAACATAGCACATTACCCAGCTACATAAAGGTGAAGCCTGCCTACAAATACTTAACTAGTTCAGGGTGAAATTTAATTAGCAAAACATTTTTAGTCTTGTTCAATGTCACTGTTACAATTAATGCAGAAGTCAAGGATCATTTCAGAGCATCTCTCCAGCCCCCCTTAAAGGGACATGATCTGTCCTGTACCTCTGGCTTTGTGATGCTGGTTGCTTTCACTGGGAGAGAAGAGTCATGTTAATTTATAACTTGTCCCCTATGGCAATGGTGTTCACCTAGGCCACAAAATAAAATTGAAGGGAAAAAGTTTTATTCTAGACCATAACCTGATTCTTATCTGTTTTGCTAAATCTCAAGTATTTCATGTAAACCAAGAGTTACTTCAGACTTAGGCTGCTGGCACTGGGAGTAGGATTTGGTACTATGGCTGCACAATGCCATTCCAAGAAAGCTTTTTGGTAGCTGAGGAATAATGTCATGTAGGTTGAAATTGTAAGGGGATCACATGTACGATTCTTTTGCAAATTATCACGGAGTGTTATCACAAGGTATGGAGCTCTACTTGCAGGATGTGAAGACTGCTGGCAGCTGAAAGCTGACACAAGACATCAGGATGAAAATATTCAACACTAAATACAAAATAAAATTACTCTATTACACACCATGACAACTCTACATGCAGATGAAGGGATAGCAATTAAATTACTAAACCAAGAAAGACTAATTCAAAATCAAAACTGAAGTCACAAGGATGCATAACATGAAACAAACAAACAAAAAAATCACTTAAGAAGACCGAACAAGCATTTCAAAAGAACAGTAACACAAGTTGTTAAACTAGGGAGCCTAATTTTCTGAAATGGCCTTCTGTTTTTGGATACAGTCGACTAGAGAAATAGCTTCATGCTATTCTTCATATCTGTAATTAAATTCAGGGTCAATTGCTCTCCCATAATAGGAAAATGCTTTTGAACCTCTTTAAGCATGGTGTGTGCCTTTAAGAGACATTTATCACTAATTTTTAATTAATTTATTTATTTATTTCCCTAGAGCTTAAAGTACAAAAAGGGGGCAGTAGGTAATTTGGGGATAGACTTGTCCTCCATTATTCAGATTTTTTTTGCTGGTTAGAAGCACCACCATGATTGACTTTCTCTTTAAAATCGCTCATTATGCTTGAAGACCACTCCATATATACATCATTAAGGAATGCTGTTAACACAATTACAAACAAGACAGTAACAGTCTAGTGGCTTTTGTTATGCAGCACAAAGTAAAAAATAAAGAACAAACTTAGCAGTGTTGCACAGGACCTCAACATTTGTTGCACAGGACCTCAACATTTCTTACACATACTTTTACCTTTACAGGACTCTTCTTTAGAAGTCTTTAAATGTCTAAGCCTTATAAAATAAATACTTGTATAAATACAGTTTAAGGATTAAGTCATTTTATAGAGGCAGGGTGTTCTGTTCGCTAAAATGTGACAGTTTAAGTGACACTATCAGAAAACCGCCACCAATATATCCCCAATTCTTGTATGTAAAATTCCTGGCTGCTATTCTGGAGTCTTTCACAGTTCAATGGATAATATATATTTAGTCTGTGGTGAAGAATGTGTGATTAAATGCAGGTTTTTTTAAAATCCAAACCATTTTGTGTCCAAGGTAAACTTTGCCCTTTGCAGACTGTGGGCCAGCTAGCTGTTGGCCTGGGAAGTAGCGCCCAGGTTCATACTTCAGAGTTTTGGTGAGAATGTAACAGTGACGGAAAGGACCAGTTAAGTCACAGGACGGAAAGTCCAGTGACATTTTCTAAAACATGCAGCTGCATATCTCTCTCTCTGTTCTCTCATTCTCTATCTCCACATTGGCATGTTATGAAATTAAAAAGTTGGCATGAAATAACAAGTGCTTTTATTTCAGGAAAGAAATAAAAAGGTCCCCAGCTCAGTGTCCCAGGATTTTTTTTTTTTTTAAACTTAGGTGATCCTTTTACATAGTCACAGAGCACTTTACTCCAAGGAAACTAGGACAGCTCTTCAAAGGTTGGTATTGTTACCTCCATCAGCGGGGGAAATTACGACATAAGAGAGAACATCCCCTCTTCTGCTCCATTTTTCCTTCTAAAAGCTACTAAACTTTTAAAGTGGGGTTGCTATAACACTCCTAAACCAACATAGAGTGTGCAAAGCATTTCAGTAGATGGGGCATGGCAGAAACAGCCTCCCTGTGGTTCACTGGTCTGTGTCTGAAAGAACTTTTGTAGGAGTGGAGGGTGACAAGGGGTAAGCTTTCCTACACAGTCCTACGACACCTCTCACCTTCCAGGCGGAAGGTTGTGACCTTAAGAAAAGCCCAAGGGGAACATTTTCCTGGCATTAAGGGAATCATTCCTCCTGTGTGTCTTTTAGCACTTGGTTCCTCCACCTCATATTTTCCTCCTCACAGAAATTCAGGGGGATTCTGAAAAGCAGTAATTGGGTGGGCAGCTTTGTCTAGGGCTGTGTGGTCACCCAGGGCAAGTAATGAAATGGGATTTCTGATGCGCCGTGTGCCTTTACCTATGTGGGCATCCAAGATGAGACGCCACGAGTAGCATGGTGTCTCATCTCTGCCTCCTTGAAAAAGCACATCTCAAGCAGAATTGAATAAACTTTGGCAAATTCATTAATTTCATAATACACTGAGAGCAGATTTGGTTACATATGCAAACAGGTGACCTCTGACAAGGAAAAACAACATCATCAGTGATACTAAACGGAAAAGATGGAGGTTGTGTTTTATAGCATGCAAAACAGAGGAGGAAAATGGGGTTAATCAGGAAAACCCTCCAGGTGCATGGACTCTGCTGTCCAGATGAAAGTGATAAAAGGTAGCTTGTAACACCACAGGTACTGTGCTCTACAGTACCAAGGAGTATCTTCCAAAATATATGTCATAAATACTGACAGTGTTTGATAGGCACAATTACTATAATGCAGTCATCCCCAAGTAAACTTATTGCTAAAAGCTGCAGTATCACTTTTTGCAAGTAAGATGACAGTATGATTTATGGAGAACTCATGAGCCCAATGTTCCTAAAGCTGCAAATGAGCGTTGTCACGCCATTTCTCTTCCCTTGTAAAAAGGATGCTGCTGTTTTGTTTTTTTTCTTTCCCTTAACACATTTCAACTGGTGTGAACAATTCAAAGGAAAACTAGGAAGATAATTCCACAGCAGAAGGGATAAGACTAACAGATTTCAAGGACAAAATTGGATTGGATCACTTAAAGGGCAGGCTTAGACCTCTGTGGGAAAGACAGTTAGCGGCCTACCATAAAATGAGTGAGCACTTGGTTCATGGAACACTGACTCAGCATCCTACAGGCTTACAGTTTCCTCCACAGAGGGACCCTTGGTGGCAGTGGGACCCCCTCAGTTCTCAGCCGTGCAGCCCAGCAGCTCTGACCGCAGTGTAATCCGGCCGTACCATGACCAAGGCAGGATCCGCACGTGCCGCGCGTGGATTGGTGGGTCGATGACGTTCTTGCGGTGTGTGTCATTGTCAAAGTTCCCCTGGAACACCTGGAGGGAGGTAATTTAGGAAATTTAGAAGCTTGTGGACTGTTGAACAGCCCCTGATGTCCCCATGGGCACCTCTCTGTGGTCAGCTCTTATCATCTGTGCACTGAACTGAAGTTTTAAACAGACAGAAACAAGGTTTAGATGGGATATTGGGAAGAAATTCTTCCCTGTGGGGATGGTGAGGCCCTGGTATAGGTTGCCCAGAGAAGCTGTGTCTGGTGGCTGCCCCATCCCTGGAAGTATCCAATGCCAGGTTGGACAGGGCTTGGAGCAACCTGGGCTAGTAGAAGTTGTCCCTGCCTATGGCACGTGGTGGGACTGGATGAGCTTTAATGTCCCTTCCAATCCAAAGCTGTGATTCCATGAACTGATGTCGCAAAGAGTACCTGCCTTTACTAAGACTTTGGGATTCCATGGCATGCAACGACACACTCTGGCAAGTGCAGATACAGCTCACAGAACCTCAGAATATCCAGAGTTGGAAGGAACCCACAAGGATCACGGAGTACAACCCTCAGCCCTGCACACAACCATCCCCAAGAGTGACACTATGTGCCCCAGAGCATCATCCAAAGACTTTTTGAGCTCTGTCAGCCTCAGTGTTGTGACCACTGCCCTGGGGAGCCTGCTATGGCCCAACCACCCTCTGGGGGAAGAACTTCTTTGCTGATATCCAACCTAACCCTTCCCTTACACAACTTCAAGCCATTCCCTTAGATCCTGTCACTGGTCCCCACAGAGAAGAGATCAGTGCCTGCTCCTCCTTGATTCAAAGCTTAATCTGCTTCTGCCAACACCCAGAGCCTGGCTTCAAAAGTTACTTAAAAATCATTAACATTTAAAAAATTAAATGTCTTTCTGCTTGGCATTTGTATCATCTCAAATTAGTCTCAGGAGATCCTGTTGTTGTTTCCAAGAAAATAACATTAATAATTAAAGTTAAGAAGAATTTTTATTGTATCACTTATGTATGAATGCAGCTACACAGAGTTGGTGATTATCAAGGATACTCCTTCTTATGTCAAGCAAAAGTCAGCAGATGAATTAAGGGCATTGGGTTGTGATCAAATTAAAAAATCCTAGCACAGTAAAGTGCATACTATGTTCTTATTTCCAGTAGTATTGCTTAACCAACACAAAAGTGACTTCTGTCTATGTTAAATCAGTGCCAGATTTTCCCACCTGACAGACACTATTCAAATTCAAAGGCCATAGGACCAATTTTTGGCAAAATGATCAGATTATCCCCTTGGGTTATTTTCAGTTTTTATGGGAAGTGTTCATTCTCTTAAAATGTCAGCCAATTCACTTCTCATTCGTAAAAACTGAGTCTGATGGCTTTTTGACTTAAAAAAAATGGCTGTCGTTTGCACCATGCAGAGAAGAATATGGACCTCCTGGAGGTGTGCTTATATGACTGAATTAATGCAGAATTACAACTTTCCTAGAAGTTCTTGGGAAAATGTCAGTTTGAACTCAGAAGAGGCTGATCTACTATTTTAGCCTGTTTGTGACATGTTTACAAAGTTTCTGGTTTCTGTGGTGCACCTCTTGCTTGAAAATTGGAAGCTTCTCTCTGGTGTTATAAATTTAGCAGCCGAAATGAAATGTGCCATCCATTAGTGATGCTCTTTCACAAGCGATGAATTCCCCTTCTTGTATGCCATCTCACTAACATGGAGATGGTAGCATTAAAATATGTAGCAGTTCAGATAAGATGATAAAACGGCAGAGAGACTTGTCGGAGGATGTAGCAAGGTTGTGCAGCCTGACCATGGGAGAAAGAATGTAAATAAGATGTGAACATCCAATCATATGTGAAGGCTCGTGGTAAATATAGATAATAGAGCTAAGAATAGTGTTAGTATGTAAGATTCGAGAGACAGTGTGTGTGTGCAGCTGTGTGAAGACAATGTAATATTCTGGATGAAGAGAATAAAGCTGAATTTAGGCCATCATCATCTGAGTGCCCAGTTTTATTTACATGGCCGTCCTCATATTTAATACAACAGAGACTGACCACAGAAACACTAGTGTTGCGACTCTAAGGAGAAAAAAAAATGTATTTACCACAGACAAAATTGTTTGCTGCCCGAGTACAGTGTTGATTACATAAATCGGCTGGAGCTTGGGCTAACAAGCTGAAGTTGAGTTTCACTTGTAGCATACAACAGAAGGCAGTAAGCTCATTCTAAAATTAGAGAGTGGCAGCCCCAGCATCCTTAGCTAGGAAAGCTTAAAAATATTTTTTTAATATATATTTGATTTCTTGCACATACATGTAATATATCTGTTGACATTTTTTACCAAGCTGGATGATAAGCAATGCATAAATGCAGACAGCTCTTGCTGCAGAACTACTGGAAAATTAACTTATTCATTATGTTATTCCCCCTATGGAAGATGCATTTCAAAGATAATATTTAAATGAAGACTTAGAAAAAAATAGTGGTTTACCAGAAGTATTACCCCAGTATTCATATCAGCATATAGCTATGCAAAATGAATAAAAGTATGTGATGTAAACCCAGCAACAAATATACCTGAAGAAGGTAGGATTATATCATTTGCTTACAGCAGGAAAATAAGAATTAAATTTTATTTTTAACTTTCCCTCCAAATTCAAGATCTGGTTTCAAGGAATAACTAAACGTGCTAGATCAGAAGAAAGTCTTCAGGGAAATAAATTTATCAGAAAGTGAGGGAAGCTTTGTCAGCATCCGCCAATATTATCAGCATGAAATATAACACTCTAAGATGAGCGTATTGGATTTTTTTGCTGAGGCCAAACGGCAAATTTCTTATGAAAAAAACATATTCTTTGTCACTCTTTATTTTACTTCAACCTCAATTCACTAATGGAGTCAAGAAACTTGGAAAGAGCAGGGAGGACAAAGGACAAAACATGACATCTGGTTTATAAAAAAAAAAAAGCCATTTGTATAGCCAAAAGTAACTTTATGTTGCTCTATGCCCAAAAAGTCAACTCTAAATAAACCATTTAAGCAATTAAAAACTCTTGAAGAGCTGGTACCTCTCAATGACCACTTCTCACATTTGTTTCTGAGCAGGTTTTTTCAGGATACATCACCCCTGAAAACTGTAATAATTTATTAGCATTTGAGAAGCTGATGTTGGAATTATATCATCTAGCTGTATGTAAAAATATGCCCATTGACAAAAGAAAAAAAAGGAGGGTGATTGAAGAAAGTACAGAATGTATATTATTAATGTGTGAGAGCTCAAAGCCAGGGAAAAATCTTCATTTTGAGCTCTGTGCAGGTGCAGATCTGCTCCTGCCTTATCCCAAACAGTAAATAAATAGAGAGAAGCATGAAGACAGCCACAAGAACTGAAGAATGTCCTTCTGCAAATTATTAAACAGATAAGTCTCTTCATTCTGAAAGGAGATATTATAGATGTCTATAAAACTTAAGTGGTGTGAGGAGAATGAACAGCAGGTAATAATGCACTGTCCCCTTGCAATGACAGCAGGGTCATCCTAGGCCACCCAAAGGTCACAGCTCCCCATTCAACACATAATTAAACTGTAGCACAACTCCCACAAGCCTTTAACCACTGTTAGAGATCAGATAAATTGTGAGGGGCAAAGCCAGCAGGGACTAGTAAGGACACAGTTAAAAAAAAACCAAAAACAGAAGATGGGCTAGTACACCTGGGGTCAAATGACAGTCCCACTATTTAAATTTTCTGGTATCTGCTATGGGATGCTCCTTCCTTTGGACAGAGCTTCAGCCTCCCCCCAACCAGTGGCTCATACATTGCAAAGTGCATTTTTTTTGGTAAAAATGGACTAAAAAACTCCTGCTTTTTGACACTCCTGTTGTAGAATGTTACAGATTTTACACTGGCTATATCTATTTATGTTTGTCTGCATATTTAAAAGGTGTAACTTGCTAAAACATTTACTCAGCAGCTGCAGTAATTTTACATATACAGACCCCACACCCAGGTGTAGCTCCTCTGTAGTTTAGTCTCTTGCAGCTGTTATTAAAAGAAAAAAGGTAGAAAATGCACCTGTTGTGCTTTTAAGTATGATAACTTAAATTATGATCATTTTATGCAAAAAAGAATGAAAACCTGGAAAATAGGTACAGATACCCTCTGCCAAAAAAGATTTCTGAAATATAAGCCATTCTTGTTTATACTTGTGTCCAGCAAGCAATTTGAGTGTCTTGACTTCAAACATTCACTGAGATCTTTCAACAGAACTGTTTTATGACATCAGCAGTAAATCCAAATACTGAAAGTGTGATTAGAATTTAAAAAAAGAAAACTATTGTATGTTTTAAGACAGAGTAATTTAGGAGAAATATCTGAAGACTAGCAGATTGAGAAAAGTGGAATTTATGACCACTGATGTTTGGTTTACTCCAATCTTGTATTTAGGGCACATCCACAGGACCTGTTAATAGGTGGCTGCAGTGGCTGAAATAGTTTGTGGCACTGTGCTGATGGATGTTCACAGTGGATGAAAATTCAGAGAGACTGATTCTCCACAGAGAATCTTTCTGGAGCTCATGAAATGTCTTCATCACTCATAGCATTACTGGCTACTGCTATTTACAGTAATGGCAGAGTTGAGACTGAATAATCAGCTCTCAGATGGTGAAGTCACTATGTTATCTGCTGTAGCTTAAACATATTTTTCACTTTGAGCAGAATATTTTAAACATCTCATGGAGCAGGTAATCCTGCCCATACCAGAAGAAGATTATTTTATAGAGTATCTACACCTGACTTCGGAGTTTGCTTCAGTGCAGAACATCTCAGTGTTCACATAAATAAAGAGGACATTATTAATTTAAAATCTAAAAAGAATCTGCATGAAAAGCAATTTTTGACAGCTATTTTGTATTTGATTACTATTCACCAAATAAGATTTGCTTAAGTAAGAAAAGGAATCTGCAGATTTGAGGAGTCCAATTAGTTACTTTGAAACTTTTTGGTGCTAGTGGAGTGACCTTTTCATCGTGAAG